CTGTAAATTTTCATGACCTAGCAAACCAAACCAGGCTCTGCAAGCCAACAGTTGTTTGGCAGCCCAAAATAGAGGAGTCAAAATCAGATTACATATGGAGGATGGATTCAGGGGTTCTCGTACTCGACGAACAGAAGGACGAAGCAAAGAATTGTTCAATGGCCTAAAAACCACACCTGAAATCGGTTATAGTCGCCGTTCCTTACACAAACTGCTGAACTCTCAAACCCCGAACAATCGACTCAATATTCTTTGACTATGAGCGTTGATCCTCCAGAAATGAACTTTCAGGACTGGGTGTATGGGAAGGTGACCAAATTGAATTTCCACACAAAAGGGGAGGTCAAATCCAGGCTTCTCATTCGGACAACTAAGAGGAGGAGAAATCAGAAGCAGAAGCCTATTATGTGGAAGAGGATTCAGAAAATACAGAATTACCTTTGAGATCTCAGAGTTGGAGGAGGAAGAGGATTTAGAGGATATTAGCCAAGAAAAAGCCACATAGGAGATCATACAAGAGATGTGAGACGAACTCTAATTCTTTTTTGCAGAAAACAATCACTGCATATATGATATGAGAATGAGACAGAGGAAAAGTTTCAATTGAGTGAAGAGCCGATGACAAATGGCAATCTATTAAAGTTCGTATACTTGATTGTTTTCCAAATACAAATGGCAACCCTCTAAAGGCACCCTGTAACAATTTTCCTCTTTTGAATTCTTTCCACTTACCCAACCTTTGTGTTGTAGGGATAGGTTGGGACGTGGATTTATCAGACAAAGGACTCCTTCCTGTTTCCATAAAGAAAATAAGGTTGGATTTATCAAACTATGACTGTGGAGAGCAAGGTAACAACAGAAAGTGCGATTGCCATTAAGCCAATTATGATAAACTCTAATTAGGATAACCCAACTGACCTCATGAATAAGCTGGACTTTGGGTGGGAAACACGGGAGGTGATGTGAGAGTGGTTGTGTCTCTGAGAACATATGTCTGCAGGAAAAAAACATGTGATAGAGGAGCTTAGGAAAATACTATACCAAGTTTGTTGCGGGGAGATGGGGAAGAAGAGGGGATTTTTAGATGATCCATGAAAGTGGTTAGTTGTAATGGTAACAGTCTGGGTAATGTGATGAAGCAGAAGCAATTAAAGTGGTTATGGGAGGAAACCCTGACGTTGTCATATTCCAAGAAAAAAGAGAGAGGAAGAAACTGGTAGTTTCTTGATTCGAAGTGTTTGGGAAAGTAGATTTAAAGATCAGGTGATCCTCCCTTCAATAATGGCATTGTGCAGAAATTTTGAGAACATGGAATGTCAGATTGGTTTCCAAAGTTGACATTTTGAGGGAGTTTACTCATTGTCCATGCTTCTTGACATCAAAAGTAAAGGTTGTTGGTGGATGACAGTTGTATTTGGTTCCACTAGATATAGGCATAGATATTCGTTTTGGGAGGAATTATC